ATTTGTTTAAACATTCCCAAAATGCTGACAAATGAGAGTCCTCAAAATTATCTCACTGGAAACTTGAAATGTTGGAGGAAGAGATTCTCTGTACCATTCTCAATACCTGAATCAGTGAAGCTGAATTTAACTTTGTCAAGCAAAAGAGAAAATCCTTGGTTCATTTAAATGATTAACATGCTCAGCTGCTAACATAATGATTAGGAGTTCAAGTCTACCCAGAAGCACTGCAGAGGGGATGTGTGGTAATCAGCTGTTGAAAATTCTGTGGAACACAATTAACTCTGACACACATGGGATTGTCAAACCAAAATATCTTTGTGCAAAGCAAGAGCTGATAGTAGACTTTAAGAAGCATTGTTGTTTTTAAGTGCTGTTAAGTCACCTGAGATTTATAATGACCCTATGCACAGTAGAACAGAATATCCAGTCCTCTGCTATTTTCACAACTGTTGCTGTGTGTAAGGCCATTGTTCGTCACTAAGTCAGTTGTCTCTTTAAAATTCTTTCTCCCTTTCAGTGACTTCCTACTTTTCCAAGCGTGATGTCTTCCAGGGACTCGCCTCCTCTAATAACATGCTCATAGTACATGAGACAAAGCCTCTCATTCTTTGCTTCTGAAGAGCACTCTGGTTTCCCTTCATCCAAGATATATTTGTTTGTTCTTTTAATAATCGATAGTACATTCAGTACTCTTCACCAAGGCCATAGTTCAAAGACATCAGTTCTTCTTCAGTCTTCCTTATTCATTGTCCACCTTGGATAAGCATGTGAAGCAATTGAAAATACCGTGTCTTACATCAGGCATACTTTAGTCTTTAAAGTGACATCTTTGCTCTTTAGCACTTTAAAGTGATAATTGAGTTTATGTGCCCAGTGCAATAATGTAATTTGATTTCTTGATTACTCTTTTCATGAGTGTTGATTATGAATCCAAGTAAAATAAAATTATTGACAGCTTTAATCTTTTCTCCATTTATCATGATGTTGCGTATTGGTCCAGTTGTGAGAATTTTTGTGATCTATGGTGCAATCCATAGTGATAACTTTAGGCTTAGATCTTCAGTGAGTCCTTCAAGTCTTCTTCACTTTCAGCAAGCAGGGTTGTATTGTCTGTATATCACAGGTCATTGGTGAGTCTTTATCCAATCCTGAAGCCACATTCTTGAAATAGTCCAATGTCTCACATTATTTCCTCTACATACAGATTGAATTGGTATAATGAGAAGGTACAGTCCTAAAGAACACCTTTCCTGATTTTAAAGCATGCAGTATCCTCATGTTCTCTTCAAACAACTGCTTCTGAGGCCATGTACAAGTTCTGCATGAGCAGAAATAAGTGCTCTGGAATTCCTTTCCTTCTTGATGTTATCCACAATTTGTTTTAATCCATACTAAATGCCTTTGCACAATCAATAAAACACAAATAAACCTCTTTCTAGTATCCTCTACCTTCAGCCATGATCCATCGTACATCAACAGTGATATCCCTTGTTCCATGTTCTCTTCTAAATGCAGCTTGAATTTCTGGCATTTCCCTGATAATACACTGTTCCAGCTAGTTTTTAGTAATTTTCAGCAAGCTTTTACTTGTTATATTAATGATATTGTTCAACAATTCTGTTGGATCACCTTTTTTATTATTATTATTATTTAAGGGGCACAAATACAGATTTCTTCCAGACAATTGACCAGATTTCTTATTGTAGACAAGTGAGCACTTCCAGTACTGCATCTATTGAAACACTTGAATTGGTATTCTGTCAATTCCTGGAGGCTGGGTTTTTACCAGTGCCTTCAGTGCAGCCTGGACATCTTCCTTCAGTACCTTTGGTTTTTGATCATATGCTACTTTTTAAAATGTTTCAGTGACGGGGAGAGGGTTGGGAGGGGAGAAAAGTGCAACAATGAATGAATGGAAATCCAAAGTCTCTGTAAATTTTCATTGAAATTAATAATAATTTTAAAAAATTGTTTCAGTGTCAACTAATTCTTTTTTGGTATAGTAACTCTGTATTTTCCTTTCATATTTTTTTATGCTTTCTGCATCATTCAATATTTTGCCCATAGAATCCTTCAGTATTGAAACTCAAGGTTTGATTTTTTTTTCTGTTCATTTCTTTCAGTTTGAGAAATACTAAGTGTGTTCTTCTCTTTAGGTTTTCTAACTCTAGGTTTCTTCATATTTCATTATAATGCTTAACTTTATCTTCTTGAAATCTTCTGTGATCTCTCTTACTTCTCATTTCTTCCTTTTACTTCAGCTTCTCAACATTATAAAGTAAGATTTAGAGTCTCTACTGACATCTATGTTGACCTTTTCTTTCCTTCCTGTCTTTCTAGTAACCCTTTCCTTTTTTCCTTGATGTCACCTCACAAGTTAACTTGTCTCCAGTGTGTTCAGTGCAACATATCTCTTGTTGAGATTTGATTCTTGAGATTCTTGAACCTCTCACAACAACACATTAGCCACTACAGTGCAACAGATTGGCAGACAAGGAGTGAAAGGAAATATGGATTTCTGGAATTAGCAGATTAATACACACACACTCTCTCTCACACACACACACACACACACACACACACACACACACACCACACACACCGTGGGATTATTTTAGGGATTGACTCCTTATTAACTATGCATTTTGAGATCGTGGGATTATTTTAGGGATTGACTCCTTATTAACTATGCATTTTGAGATCAAGGGACCATCAGGACTGGAGGAGAAGCATGATTTCTGGAATGAGACTGATCTGAAACATGAGATGTTATTAGATAGCTGAGTTTCAGAGACACGAGTGCTGGAGCAAAGCTACTACTTCCTGTTAACCTTGGACAAGGTATAGTTTATGGTTATTACTTATAACTTGGAACTAAGACAGAGCAGGTAATCTTGACCTTTCTTCAGTTTGGAGAACAGAAACCTTTTCTTCTTAATTCTTGTTCTTTTTAAAGCAGTTACGTCAGTATTGTTCTCCTACTTTTTGCCCCTCTCACTTTTTAATATTGCAATTGGCTTAAACTCCAGCTTTCAAATATTGAGGTGGTTTATCTACTTTTCCTTCATAGAAAAGACTTTGTGTTGGAAATACACCACAACACATTACTGTAATTAAATATATTTGAAGAAGTAATGATACTTTAGAGGAAGTCTGCTGAATACTTGATGGCATGAACAAAATGTCTGAGGTGATTTTAAACTCTAAGCCTGTGTTGAAGCAGCTCCCTTTTTGTGTAGCACAGGTCATTGTTAGATGTCAGAAGGACTGCTTTGAAATATTATTTGAATAATTCCCCTTTTTCTTTATAATAGTAGACTGCTATTTTGTAATTTAACTTAAAAAGTAAAATAGACATTACTATTAACCAACAATGTCAGTCCAGGGTTAGGTCAAGACAAAAGTTAGTAACTCCATGTAATTGACAATTTTTAAAAGTTAATTACAAAAAAAAAAAGTTAATTGCAGCTGAAATGATAGAGTTTGTTCAAAGTAAATTTTTTCTCTCTCAGATAATAAAGCTGAAGAAATGCTTTTATATAGGGTCCTCACTGAAAAAAATTAAAAGGGAACTCTGGTAGCCTACCGGTAAAAAACTGCATCCCAAAGGTATGTGGTTCAAATCCACAAGCTGCTCTGTGGGAGAAGCAGTCTCCTCCCACATTATTTATTGCCTGTAAAAACCCACTGGAGAGTCAGCTCTAGGTCAGTTTTGACTCAATGGCACATAACAACAGGGTTGAAAAAATATTTACTGTACACATACTACGTAACTTGAAGAATAGCAATTAGTGTCAGTTCTCCAGTACTCATAAAGCCCTCATTATAACAAAAAGATAATATAGATAGTTTAGTACCTATTACATTACAGAATATCGATTTCTTTCCCCCCACCGGATAGAGTATATCAGCCACCACTTACCTGTCAATTTGTCATAACATAGTGACATATAAGTTAGTATGATGCTGGTAGCTATACCCGCACTATTTCAGATACTTGTAGAGTCACCCATAGTGGACAAATTTCAGTAGAACCACCAGTTTAAGACAGACTAGAAAGAAAGGCCTGAACATCTAATTCCAAAAAGTGTGCTGTGAAACTTAGTATTTGCAAAACAAAGACATATTATTCAATATAGAGCTGGTAGATAAGCACCGGGATTGGAAGTCATTAAAAATAGACAGTGGCCACAGTGGACTCAAGCACCAGGAAGATGTCCAAGAGCAGGCAACATTTGTCCTGTTGTCCACGGGGTTACCTTATATTAGGGCTGACTCAGTGGCACCTAACAACAACATTGAATGCTTGCAGAAGAGAGAAAAGGGAACGACTAACTGCCTAAAGAAGGATGAAAGATAATTAATTAGGAAAGTTTTAAAAGAAAATATAATATTTGACCTTTGCAGCATGAAAGCATGTTAAGCATTTTAAAAAGTAATAAGAATACACTTCACAGAGAATCTTGCATGAACAAAGGCATGGGAGGACAATGTATATTGGAGGGACAGTCACATGGAAGCTTGAGGTGTGTGGGAAGAGGCAGAAAAATAATACTGCCCAGATTGTGAAGAGTATCTTATTCAATAAGAAGAGAAACATGGTAAGATCATTTTAAAACTATGAATGATGGATCGAGAACAAACTCTGGAGGAGTTGGATAGGATGGCTCTTGAAAATGCTGAATTCCAGGATGCTCTGATACATACTAACAGGAGAAGAAAACAGACTTTATGACATGTAAATTTCTTTATATTCATAGCTTACATTTGATGTATCATCACTACTGTGATCTTGATAAAATTCCCGTGCACCTTTTGCCATGGTCAGGAGGCCCCAATTCCTGATTTTGTGTATGTGCATTTTTCTTGCTCCCCAGTTCTCATGCTCACTCTGAAAAATCAGTGTCTGTGAGGGAAGGAGTATTCTAATAAAGAATGGCTAAAGCAATTTGAAGAGAAAAACACCCTGATTTCTGACCATTGTCTTGGTTTTTTAGATAATTAAGTTGAAAGCCGAAGCCCGACTGGACCTGCTGAAGCAGATTGGCGTTTCTGTGGACACATGGCTAAAGAGTGCAATGAACCAGGTGATGGAGGAGCTGGAAAACGAGCGCTGGGCCCGCCTTCCCACAGTGGCCAATAATGGCACTTTACACTCGGTACGGTTCTCTCCTTGGATACCATGAACTGGCTGGCATTGAAAAATGCAACTTAGTTTAGACTGTACAGCCAAATTTAATGTAAATTTTAAGAGAAAAAAATTATCATTTTTTTCTTAGAGGCCACATTTTGTTTTGTTTCGTTTTGTTTTTCCTTTCACCTTTCACAAATATTTTCCTTAAACTTGGAGAGAAGGAGGGAAATTTGGGGATTTTTGTTTTGTTTGAGCTTTAAGCAAACCATATTATCTCTACTTGAGTTTGTTATGCTGATTTACTAACTTCATAATTCTGTTCAAGAGTAAATGGGTTTCTTTTCTGAAAGCAGTAGAATTGAATGTTTAATCTAGTATTCCGAAGTTCATAGAGATGTTTGTTAATAAAAATGAAAGTCTAGAATGTTATAAACAATTGTGAAGAAAGGAAAAAAGTTCTTAGTGCAAGAGTTTAATTTGAACGTGACTTCAGTTCTCAAAGACTTTTACACTCTCCTCAGACCTTTCCCCTTGGGGAGACAGTACAGGTGATGTTTACTGACAAGAACAGCACTCGAAATTTTCTTCAAGACCAGAACTCTTTCCATTCTCATGCTCATCCTCCAGCTCAGCCTTTTAGTTTTACATGTTAGAAATTTGAGTAGCAAAAGTTTCACTGATACACCTCCTGATTATAGGTGGCTATGTCATAAATAGCTGTTGTTGTTGTTGTTGTTGTTGTGTGCTGTTGAATGAGAACTGACACACAACTGACCCTACAGCAGGTTTTCAGAGGCCATAAATTGCACAGGAGAAAATCACCCATCTTTCTCCCTTGGATAAGCAGGTGGATTTGAACTGTGTACCTTTGGGTTGGCAGAATAACTCCTTACTGCCAAGCCATCAGAACTCCATGGGTAGCTAATCAGACTAAAGGCATTCTTGCTGGCACCTCTTTGCCTATTACTCTCTACCATCCTATTTATCTCCTTATGGCATTTATTAAAGTCTGTATTTGTCATTTTTATTTATTTGCTTTTGGGTTTGGTCTGTCCTTCTCCTATCTAGAATATCATTTATGTGCCTGCCCTGTTCACTGCTCTGTGTAGTGCATGCCGTATAGTAGGTAGTCATAGTGGGTAGTAAATACTTATTGAAGGCAGGAAGGAAGGAATGGATGGAATTGTGACAAACTGAAAGTTAAAATTCTGATCTCTCAAATTCCCATTGTATCCATAGTGCATTTTCAATATAGGTACTTAAAATATAAGACATATTTGCTAGAGAAATTACCCAACATTTAAAGCCTTCCTGAAAGTTTTGTCAGTTTTCTGTATAGCATTCTGATTTTTCCAGTGACACATGTTTGCACATTTAAAAGAGATTGTGTGGAATGTGTATTTTAAGGAAAAACAATCTATTGAAGGTTTCTTTTTGTTTGGCTATTAGTGGTAATACATTTGGGAAAAGTAAGCAGACTAGAAGAGCTTTCCTTGTTTTGAATTGAACAGAGTTGCTTTATGCCACAGGCTTTCTCTTCCTATTGCATCTTGTAAAAGTTACAGTTCCCATTTACTTTAGGCTACTCTGTTGTACAGAGCTTATGACAATAGCAAATTCCAGGTACAAACTGGCTTCTACAGCAGCATAGTTTCCAACCAATGAAACTCATCACTCTTCTTGGACTATTACCTTATCTAACTAAATCAAAACTGCCAGAGGGCACATACTGCCTGGGCAGATACAAAAGGAACAAGACTTGGTCCTGCCTTCAAAGAGCTTACAATATAATGGATACATCTTTATAACTTTTATTGCTTTGTAACTTTTATTGATGGTGGCAGCATATGACAAGGCTACTATATAGCAAACTCAAAATTGCTTATCTCTCTCTCTCTCACACACACACACACACACACACACACGCAGGCACACTCTCACACACTTTCACACACACACACAAGCTCATCAGCAGTGCAACCTTGGGAATGTCACTTTACTCTGGGTTTCAGAAAATTGGGTGAAATTAATCTAAGTTCACCTTCCAACCCAAAATAGCTTACAATACTCAGAAAACTTTAAAACTCACTAGAAGAAGAGGGAAGATGTTTGGCCCAAAGGAAGGAAATGTCATTTTAGATTGTCTTTGAAGAATTTTAATAAATTGTAAGAGGTAGGGGTGAGAATGAAGAAGCCACACTTGCACAGTGCTGGCCTATAGTAAAGGTTGAATGATTTGAGTATTTTTGGTTGCTATCAAAAGATCTTCTCTCTTTTCAAAAGATCTGCTACAGCTCTTCTAGAGACATGCCATCTTCTTGAGACAGATTATCTCCTTTTAAAGGAAGCATTTTGCAATCCCATCCCACTCTTCCTTCCTTCTGTCATCAGTCTTAAGGAACTTCCATCTTCCCTCATTCGACTGAGAGATATTTCGAGGAAGCTTTACTACCAATATAAATAAAGAAGAGTTGTAGGCACAGAACAGCTTGATAAGGTCCCAATATTTATTTAACCTGCTTTGAAATGACAGCATTGAAATAAATTAGAGGTAGCTGCATCTCTTCACATTGACAGCTTGCTGGCTGAATTGTGTGAAGCCGAAAATACATATTCCTGGGACCAAATTATTCCTTCCATTATATATGCCAACAAAAGCATTAATCATCAAGTTTAGAATTCCATTCCATCTGGAAAACATGATTAATACTACTGTGTGACATTAACTGTATTACTGGAAAGTGTTCACAGTGCTTTACAGAAGATAAATATTCTTTAAATGTGCTGTTTACCCTGTAAAGTAAGGAAGGGACTCTACTTACCTGGGTATTAATTCTTTGCCTTCTGTATCAAGCTGTGGTACAGAATAGAGGATTAGAAAGAGTAAAAAGACCAAAGAAAAAGGAATTTTAGAATATAGCACCTTTTTTTTTTAAATAAGCGGTCTACAATTGATGGCTGATTGGAACCTACTCACAGCTTCCCGTGACTGGATTGCTGCCAGTCACCTACTCAGCCTTTTCCTTGTCCTTCCCTTCTGTTATTTCCCTGAGTTTGCTTTCTCAAAATATTTAAAATTCAGAACAATAAAAATACTTATTTTATGGTGGCCAAGTGGTAAGAAGCTGTGCTGCATCTCGAAAGCATGTGGTTCGAATCCACCAGCTGCTCTGCGGAAGGAAGATGGCAGGCAATTAATTTCCTCTGGAAAACCTGCTGGAGAGTCAGCTCTGGGTTGCTTCAGACTCGATAATACACCACAGCAACAACATAACTGGTTTTTAAATCATATTAACTTTGATACAGAGAAAATTGAAATTAGAAGGTATAACAGAAAGGGAAAATTACCAGAAGCTGTATTCCTACAGTGATCACTGTTAACTAGAACTGTTCTTTTTGGTCTTCATGGCTGATTTTTTAAGAAGTAGATCACCAGGTCTTTCTTCCACAGCACCTGGGTAGACTCATATTTCTAGCCTTTTGATTAGCAGCCATGCACAATAATCATTCATACCCCTAGAGACTCTATTTTCTTTCTAGAGATGAAGTAATTAGGGTTGAGAAGCTAAATAACTTTCTGAAGGTAACACAACAAGCAAATGGCACCATCATCATTCAGGCCAAAATCTGTCAGGTTCCAGAATCCATTTCTTTCTCCTTCAGGCCCTGCAGGGGTTTGTTTGCTTAGTATTAGAGGATAATTACTAAACCAACTCAAAACAGTTCTCACCTGTTCTTACAATAAGAGTACACATTTTCCAACATGTAAGAAAGGAAAATACCTGTACAGCTTTGATTGAAGTTTTGTCGAGTGACAGGGCGGAAAAAGGATGAAAGTGGTAGTTAAGAGACAGGAAGAATGTGATTTTAGAAATGGCTGGGTCAAGAAAGAGTTGTAACAATTAAACTGCATAGAGTGGAAGAGGAGAAAGGAAGATATTATTCTGAAATTACATGCTTTGGGAGGCTCCTAGAGCATTGCAAAAGCAGGCAGTGGTGACCTATTGCTGTCACTCTATCCTGTCATTCCCTTCTATGAGAATCAAAAGTGAACTCAAAATAAGGAGAAAAAGAATGTTTAGTATCAGCCAGGCTTGCCAAGATTAAATGTTTTGGATTTTATCCCACTGCCAAAACACAGTACATTGTTACTTAACATTCCTTATGTATTTTTGGAAATTTGTTCTACCCACATTGGCTTTAATTTTAGTTTTTACAAATGTGTGGGTATTTGTTTTGTTTTTCATAATGCTTACAGTTTTGCTTTTTTAAGTCTATAACCTTTTATAGAATATGAAAGTAATGTCTGCTAAGTAAGTAAAAATCATTTCTAAGTTAACGTAAAAAAATAATTTCTAAGTTAACATTAAGGCAGTTTCTGGCTTATGTGCATTATTCTTTCATATGACACAGTGCCCTGTTAGACCTTGTTAGACAACAGTCATTAGAATCTTAAGTCTTAGGCTTGAATGGTAATATTTGAGTCTGTATTGCCACTGACCCAAATGACCCTAGGTGTTTGTTTAAATGAAGCACACAGTTACCTCATTCAGCTGTGGGTTTTCAGTAATATTTAAAAATGACAGTACTTAAGGTCATTTGAAATAGAAGCAATAAACATGGTGGGGAAAACACTTATTCTTCTGAACTGCACCCTCCAAATTCTGTAGAAGAATCCTGTTGAGAAACCCCAATAGAGCAGTTAATTTTTAAACAATGATAATTACATAAAATAAATTAATTCATTAAAACATAGAGCTCAAAATATAGGAAGCCTTTTCTTTTAGACCTACTTAAAAAAAAACAGAGGGAAAGAGACACACATTAATAACCTGCATTATACAGATGACACAACTTTAAGCACTTGTGGCAGAAGATCAAGGAATGCAGCATTCAATATGGATTGCATCTCAATGTCAAGGAAACAAAAATCCTTACTACTGGACGTTATAGGCAGCATCATGATGGATGGAAAGAAGATTGAAACTGTCAACTACTTCATCTTGCTTGGATCCACAGTTAGCACCCTTAGTACCAGCAGTCAGGAAATAAAGGAGACACAGTGCACTGGGAAAGTCAGCAATTAGGGACCTCTCCAAATTATTGAAGAATAATGATGTCAGTTTGAGTACTAAGGTATATCTGATTTAGGCCATGGTATTTCTGATCACCTGCTATGCATCTGAGAGCTGGACAGTGAATAGGGATGACAGAAGAAGAATTGATGCCTTTGAGCTGTGGTGTTGGAGAAGAGCACTGAACATCCCATGGACTGCCAAAAGTACAGCCAGAGTGCTCTTTGGAGCCAAGGATGATGAGGCTTTGTCTCACATACTTCAAACATGTTGTTAGGAGGGGTTATTCCATGGACAGGGGCATGATGTTTAGAAGGGTGGAGGGTCAGTGAAGGAGAGGAAGACCCTCAACCAGATGGATTGACTGTCACAAGGTCTCTAGTGTGTCAGGAAGTATGAAGATGGCACAGGGTAGGACAGGGTTCATATCTCTTATTCATAGGGTTGTTATGAGTCGTATTCAATTCAATGACACCTAACAACAACAACAAAAACCTGACAACAGCCAGATCTGCCATTGAATTAATGTCAACTCATTGCAACCCTATAGTGTCTAACTAAGCCATAGAGTTTCCAAACCTATAAATCTTTATGGAAGCACAGTGCATCATCTTGCTCCCTCAGAATGACTAGTGAGTTGAAGCTGCTAACCTTTGGGTTAGCAGCCAAGTCCTTTAACCACTGTGCCACCAGTGCTCCTTTTTTAGACTTACTGTAGCCCAGAAATATTCCTTTGCACAAACATCCACTCTCTTATCTCTCCATTTACCTCTTCTTTGTTCACAGAGCCCTGGCACCTAACATTAGTTGTACTCATTCTCTGCTCTGGACTAAGAACCCCCAAAAGCTGACACTGCCCTTTCCCTCAGTGCCGGCGGACCTAGCACAGTGTTCAGCATAGACTGGCCTTTGAAACTTTAATGAAGAAGCCCTGGTGGCACAGTGGTTAAGTACTCAGCTGCCAGCTGAAAGAAAGATTGGTTATTTGAATGCACTGGATGCTCCAAAGATGTGGAATTGTGCTTCTGTAAAGATTACATCCTTGGAACCCCTATGGGACAGTTCTGCTCTTTCCTGTATATTCTTTTATTTGGTTTGGCTTGTTTTGCTATTTTGTTTGTTGTTTTGATACTGTACTTAGTATTTTTACTCTAGGGCCTCATCCTGACTTTGATTCCTTCTATTACTAATATGGAAACCTCACTGCTTTGATGTATTGGGATATTGGTTATGGGATAAGCATGATATGGGATCATGCTGTCAAATAAGTGTTTATGTGTAGAAAGAATCTTGGAGACCATTTTCTTTTTTTACATATTTTTAGGTTAAGACATGGTTACATGCTTATGTTAACAGTTCAAGTCACCTCCTGTTTTTTTAATCTATACTCTTCCTTTTCTCCCTCTCCCACCAAACTCTATGCTCATAGAAACATTTGAACTTAATATATCATGGAGAGTGCTCCAGGTAGCTCTAACTCACTTTTCATGGATATTATCCATGTATAATATAGATATGTCATATATTGTTTACTCACCTGTTCCCCTGTTAGTGGATTGTATGTTATGTCCAGGACTTTGCCATTCCAAGCAATGTTGCAGTGAACTGTCTAGAATATGTACTCTTAGTTATGAGTGCTTTTATTTCTGACAATGATTCACTAAAGTTAAGGTACTTGATCAAGCAGTATATTAATTTCTTTTCATTTAGTTAATAGATTATTTCCAGGAAGAATATTATCCGTCCCATTTCTACCAGACATAAGTGAAAACCTGTTGCTCCACATCCTTGTCAGCATTTATGAATCTTTTTAATGTTTCCCACCAGTCTGATCAGTTAAAATGGTTAAAAACCCTGTATTGGTATTTAACAATGAGAGGTGAAAGGACAGTGAAACCTATTTCTTCAATAATAAGAGGGGAGGGGGAATGCCTGCTTTCTTTCATAACATCAAAAATAATGACAATCATTTCTACATTCAGGCTAATTAACATTTTTGAACCAATCAAATTTTTTGTGTGTTTTCCTGCTTTTAACCATTTTCTGTAGTAAGCAAGCCAGCCAATGGTGTCTAATCTTTCCTAGCTTAATGCAGATACTGAAAGGGAAGAAGGAGAAGAGTTTGAAGACAACATGGATGTGTTTGATGACAGCAGTTCCAGCCCTTCTGGCACCTTAAGGAATTACCCACTTACCTGCAAAGTTGTTTATTCCTACAAGGTTTGTATTTCTCTATCCTTCTGCTCTGACATCCTTGGAGTAGTGTAACTACTCTGAGGATGCACACAAATGTACCTGGTATGCCAGTCTTTAATTCCATGCTTAGCATAAAAAAATTGGTGTTAAGGTAATGTTACCGGCAGCTTACCATAATGGAGAAGAGCTTAGGCTGTGATGCCAGCCTGCCTGGGTTGGCATCCTGCCTGGCATTACAAACTATGTGATCTTGCTCAAGCCTCTCAGGCTCCATCTGTTTCCTTAACCTTATTATGGGGGTAATTACAGAGCTAACGTGACGATTAAATGAGGTAATGCTCTTCTAGCAAAGCACTTAGCACTTTACTGCTATCTAGTAAATTTTCATTAAACAGAACTCTTATGATTCATTCTCTTCTTGGCATATGATTTTTATTATTAGGGTACCCCTCAAAATTGATATAAGGAGTTTGTGTTATTTTTTTACAAAGTAGTTTTTTAAAACTGCTTTAAGGATTGGTAAGACATTATAATTACTTAATTACATTAACAAATTTCAATTAATATGGTAAAAAAATGTCTGTGGGTGACTATATAAAAACCAATATGGTTTCTAAACCTTCACTCAAATAAAAATCCTTTTACAAACTTTTCCCTTTCTTGTTCTAATATAACCTTTGTTATCCTTCTCTAGCAGGAACCTAGTTAAAAAGTTTTCAAACCTGATTTCCTATAATAGTTCTTAATCTCTCCTACCCCTGCCTTACTTTCCCATTATCTGTCTATTTAGCACAAAGTAAATTATGTTTCACTTCTTCAGTTCTTTCCCTCCTTCTCTCATCCAACCCATATTGTTTTTTTGTTCTATTTTGAAAAGTATTTACTGCATTTGAATAAATTAATTGCAAATAAAAATTAGCTACAATATATAGCTTGAATAGAAATGATTAGAACAAATACAATATAGGACTGGATTTCCTTGCATTAGTCACAAGGCATGTGACAACCTAGAAAATTTCAAAATCATTTCTTTGAAAAAAGGGTTAACAGCAGTTACTGATACATAACAACTCGTAAACTTATAATACAAGTTTCCTGACATGTATTTCCTGAGTGAACCCCAACCCATATTGTTGAGTCTTGTCAGGCCAGGCTTGTTGGGTTTACATCAGAAACATACACTGAATTCGTTTACATCTAACTTTCACCAGCTCTACTGCTACTATCCAGGTCATTCCTTTTGTTGCTGTAAAAGGTGGATGAGGAGAAAGCATCGTAATTAGGCTGTAGAGAAGCATTGAATATACCATGGACTGCTAGGAGAACAAACAAGTTCATCCTGGAGAGCGTGAAGATAGGCTCCCCTTTGGAGGCATGAATTCTGAAGCTCCCCATCTGACATACTTTGGATATATTGCAAGGTGGGATCAGTCCTTGGAGAGGGTGGAGAGACAGCTCAGGAGAGGAAGACCCTCAATGAGATGGATTGATTCAGTGACTGGGGTAACGGGGGTAGGTGTGTCAGAGGCAGTAAAGTTGGCGAGAAATAGAGCAGTGTTTAGGGCTGTTGTACATAGGGTCACTGTGAGTTGCAAGCGAGTTGAAGGCACATAACAATTCATTCTTAGCTCCTAACAGTCGTTCATTTCCACTCTAGCCAAGATTATCTTAAAAGTCTAAGAACTTAAGAAATTTAAGTCCAAAATCTTTCCATCTCATCTCATCATCATCAGGTCGAAACCAACTCATGTTCTCAGAGGCTGTAAAACCCACAGAAGGGGATTTCCTATCTTTCTCCCTTGGAGTTGCTAGTGGATTTGAACTTCTCACCTTTGGGTTAACAGTGTACCTCATTACCCACTAGGCTCCCAGAGCTCCCCTTCTATCCTGTGGGGAAGAACAATCCAATCACTTTGCTAGAGCCTGTAATGTCTAATACATTATGGTCCCAGCAGCCTCTCAGCTCCGTCTGAGACCAAACCCTCTCCATCCATTCACAGCATTTGAGCCACTCTGGCTGCCTTTAGTCTTCAAGAAGCTCCAGGTTCCTTCCTGACTTGACAACTGTGCACTTAGTGCTCCCTCCACCTAGAACTCTTGTTAACCCTCTATAACTACCCACTGCTCTTCCCTGAAGCTCCTAGAGCCTCCTCAGATCTCCCCTGACCATCCACAGCACACAATCAAATCCTGTCACCACTCTCAATCCCACTGCCCTATTTGGTTTAAAGATGTTATCACTAGCCAAAATGACCTACTTGTTTTCCTGTTAAACATCTACAAAGACAGAACATTTGTGGACCTTGTCTTTGTTTCTTCAGCACCTAGATCAGAACCTGGCACCTCGTAGGTCTTCAGTAATAGGGATTAATAAATGAGTGGTGTAAGGCGAGCAGGAACACACTGGCTCCCATTCTGACAGTCAGGATAATGCAGAGGATTGACAAGAGCCCCGAGGGCATCAGCGGCCATATGCTGAAGAGTCCCACTCTGGCCATCATCAGCACCTGAGAGCCAAAAGTTGGCCATATTTACCTCCCAATTGGCTTTTTTGAGGCTAACATCTTTTCATTTTATATTTAAATTCATAATGTTTCTTCTTTCTAAAAAAAGTGGGATTTTTTTTTCCTTCAGTAAATTGTTTTGATAATCTTTCAAAAATTTCAAGTCACCTAAGATATTTGGAAAGATATTATAAGTATATTAAAACTAAAGTTGGCTATGTCTCACCATCTCACCTATAATTATTAAATTTACTTGAAAATTCTAGAGCTACAGAGCTCTAGTGGCCTAAGTGGCAAGAAGCTGCACTGCAATCCTGAAGGTGCATGGTTTGAATCCACCAGATGCTCCACTGGAGAAGGAGGGGCAGTCTCCTCCTGTGCCCGTCGGATCCGATTCGATGATACACAACAAGGGCAGTGCAGAATTCTAGAGCTAGGGGTGAGGATGGGTGGGGGGAAATCACAAGGTGATATAATTTGGTGGGTGGAAGGAGGGAGTGAAGCAAATAGGAAAGATCCAGCAGGGATGTGAAAAGGCAGGATAATTGTGGGCATAGTTCAATGGTGATTGATTTAAAAAAACAACACAACATATGAGAATGATTGTGTGAAACACAATGTGAATGAAGGAAAGTGTGAAATACAATATATATAAATTTTGTATGTGAACTAATATAAAATTTAAAAGCCTTTTAAACAAGTTCTAAAGCTAAAATATGAAGTCCTTAAGTAGGGAGGGTCCGTATCTGTGTAATTATAAGTAGCTCGCATCCACTAAACAGCCTTCTGTTGGCATACCCTAGGCATGACCCCATGGAATTGTTGTCCTTGTTATTAGATGCCATCGAGCTAACTACAGCCCATAGCAACATTGTGCACAGCAGACCTGAACTCCACCCTATCCTCTGCTATCCTCCCAGTTTCTGATATGCTCAAGCCCTTTGTTAATGTCACCGTGTCAGGCCATCATGTTGAGGGTCTTTCTCTACATCTCTGCCTTTCTCAGGATGATGTCCTTTTCCAAGCACTGGGTCCCCCTGACATCATGCCCAAAATAAGTAAGTGCAAGTTTCACCAACTTTGCCTGGAATGAGCACCTTGGCTTCACTTCCTCCAAGGCAGTCTTGTTTGTTCTTTTGGAAGTCCATGAGATGTTCAGTACTTTTCTCCAACATAATTCAAAGACATCAAGTCTCTCATCCTTAATCATTGTCCAACTTTCAGTTGCTTAGGAAGCAATTGAAAATAGCATGGCTTGGTCCAGGCACACCTTAGTCTTTAAACTGCCATCATTGTGCTCACTTTGGCAGTACATTTACTAAAATTGGAAGGATACAAAAAAGATTAGAATGGCCTCTGCACAAGGATGACATGCAAATTCGTTAAGTGTTCCATATTTAAAACAAAACAAAACAAAAAACTGGCATTATTGCTCTTTAATATTTAGAGAGGTTCTTGACAGCCAATTTCACAATACATGTCTTTTGATTTTTTTGACATATGGATCTAAAAATCTATTTAATTATGAACATTTACTGATATTTGTTAAGTCTTAAGGGAATGCGAGAATGAATATGACTCAGTTCCTGCCCTCCAGGAATGAATATTCTAATGGAAGAATAAAAATTAACCTTAAAACCAGAAAAGATTTATAGTAGGGGTAGTAAAACAGCTAATTGTGTGATAAATGCGAACTCACTCCATGGAGTTGATTCTAATACTGACCTTCCATTGGACTTCGGAGGCTGTAAGTCTTGACAGGAGAAGACTCGCCCTCCTCTTCCCATGGAGTAGTGGGTGGATTTCAACTTTTGACCTTTCAGTTCTCGATACAACACAGAACATACCATACTAATTGTCATCATTGGGAGAAATTTTATGAAGATGTAGCATTTAAACTAGCTCATAAATAAGAGCTTTCTGGTTGCTGTTAAAGAGTAGAGAGGGGAAAGAGTCTAAGAAGCAGAGCCAGATATTTGTCATGAGAAGGTGGGGTTTTCTGGAAATGTTGATTCCATAGCACAGGAGCATCAGGCATGTAGAGTAGAGCCCAAAAGGCCTAGTATAGCATATTCAGAAGTTTGATTTTTTTTTTAGCTTGTTTAGAAGGAACCTTTTGATGTCCAAAAAGAAATTTGACTATTAAGAAAATGACCCTGATCATGATAAAACTACTCTAGAGAATCGATTAGGCTGGAGACTGACTTCAAGTCTGAGTGATTCCTATAGTCCAGACCAACAAAGAAAGGCTCAGTTAATTTTGAGGGAACAAAAGAAAAAGCCATACTTAAGGTTTATATTCAGAAGATTTAAAAATGTTTATAGTTTTTTACCCAATCATTCTACTTCTAGTATCTGTCCTAAGGAAATGAATCACAATATTTTTAAGTTTGGGGTATAAAATTTCTCTTTATCATATTATACTGTTGTTGTTATTGTTATGTGCCATCGAGTCGTTTGCAACTCATAGCGACCCTATGTACAACAGCCCTAAACCCTGCTCTGTCCTGTGCCAGTCGCACTGCCTCTGACACACCCATCCCGTTTACCAGTCACTGAATCAATCCATCTCATAGAGGGTCTTCACCTCCTGTGCTGTCCCTCCACCTTACCAAGCATGATGTCCCTCTCCAAGGACTGGCCCTCCTTACAACATATCCAAAGTATGTCAGACGAAGCCTCAGAATCCTTGCCTCCCAGGAGTAGCCTGGTTTAACCCTCTCCAGGATGAATCTGTTTGTTTTCTTGGCAGTCCATGGTACATTCAACACTCTTCTCCAGCACCACAGCTCAAAGACATCAATTCTCCTTCTATCCTCCTTAGTCATTGTCCAACTCTCTGATGCATAACAAGTGATTGCAAAGACCATGGCCTGTATCAGATGCACCTTAGTCTCCAGAGTGACACCATTGCTCTTCAGTACCCTGGAGAGGTCCCTAACAGAAGACTTTCCCATCGCAATATATTTTTTTATTTCCTGGCTACTGGTGCCAAGAGTGTTGACTGTGGAGCCAAACAGACTAAAGTTGTTAACAATCTCAATCTCTTCACCATCCACCCTGATGCTGCCAATTGGTCCTGTGGTGAGAATCTTTGTCTTCTTGACATTGAGCCTCAATCCATATTGAAGGCTGCAGTCCCTGACCCTCAGCAGCAAGCACTTCAGGTCCTCCTCAGTTTCAGCAAGCAGGGTTGTGTCATACCTTATAATATTAGAATTCGCATTCTAATAAAGGAATAGTTAAATCAATTAACCAGTCATCTAATCATATCATGTAACATGAAGACAGGTAAAAATTATATTGGTAAGAATTTTTATGTGAGAGGCAATACTTAATGTTCTAAAAAAAGTATTATTTACATAAAAGTTAAAAAAGGTAAGATATCAAATTGAATATACCTTAAGTTCTCCATTTTGCATGCTCTTCCAGTTTTTCTAGAGTGATCATGTATTATCTGTATTATTCTTTTTTTTTTAACTTGTTCTGTGCCATCAAATCGGATCTGACAGGCACAAGAGGAGACTGCCTCTCCTGCTCCAGCAGAGCATCTGCTAGATTCGAACCACAAGCCTTCGGGATTACAGTTCAGCTTCTTGTCACTAGTATTATCTGTATTCTAAAAAGAGATACACTGTTTTTAAAAAAAACTAAGGAAAATTGGCAAGAAGAGAGTAAGAGGAATGGAGGGCGTGGCTGTTGCTGGCTGTTAAAACTTCAGAGGCAGAAAGTGGCCAGACCATTTAATAAGCATTTACTGACCGCTGATCATTTGCTGCCTTTAGTTGGGGTGAGTGAGAAGAAATACTGTCCCTGCCTTCAGGGAATCATTCTAATGAAACAACTGGCTAGAAAGGCAGGAGTCAGTGATACAGGAATACACAACACTTTGTACATGCAAAAGACAGAGGAAACAACTGAACTAGGCCTCAAATGAGTACTAATAATAACTATCATTTCTAAAGTGCTGTACGCCTGATACTATATGATACACAAAGCCCTATCAAGAAGATACTATCATCTATCATCAGCCCATTCATTTAACAGGTATCACTTGACCACCCTACATGTACCAAGGCTATGCTCTTTTCTAGGCTCTGGGAATACATCATTAATCAAAGCAGATGGCAAAAAAAAAATTAACCTAAAAAGCACAATATACTTTCTAATAAGAAGGGAAACTGAGGTTCAAATAGAAGACAAGATGACTCGACCACAGAAACAGATTGAAGTTGCACTTGGACCGGACTTGTGCTCACAGTCCTTTGAATCCCTCCACCAGCTTGGAAAGAGGAAGCAGGGTGTTCTGAACAACAGAGAACAGTGTAACTTGGAAGCACATAGAACCATCCCTCTAAGGGTGCTATGTACTGCAGCCAAAGCATCAGGGGCCCATGAGGGCCCAACTCTGTAGGTCCTGACTTAGGGGCCCCTGACTTGGTCCTGGAAGTGGAGGAGTTATCCCAGCGTAGAAACGATGTAATGAAGCGTCCCCACTGCAGTGTTATCAGTGCTGACTTATAGTGATCCTCGATCAGGTCTCTTGTCTTTCTCCACAATGTACCTAATGAGTTTGAACCACCGAGCTTTTGGTAGCATCCAGACGCAGAACACTACCACTGGGACCCCAGGATGGACTTGCTTCCTGGGCCTCTATGACCTTTTAAAAAAAAAAATAAGAGCCGCAATGTGTATAAAAGTATTCTTATTCATCCTGCTTTATTCTCACATAAATTAAAGTCTAATTGTATTGATACTTCTAACTACTTTGCCGTGGAATTGTTGTTGTTGTTGTTTTTAAGTGCCGTCGAGTCGCAGGCGACTCATAGCGACGCTATGAAGGAGAGTCCTCGACACTTGGGTGCCTTTCATCCTGTCTCCAGGTTCATAGGGTTTCCAGAAGCAAGGAGTAGATGCCACGCCTCTTTCAGAGCTTGTTTTAATCAGGGAGCTCCACCCCACTCTCTGTCTGCATTGGGTAGTCAACCATTAACGCATTTGACACATCAGTGTCACAGTGTTCAGCCTCACAGCAACCAAAAGTGACCGCGGTACGGCAACTTAGACTAGAGTAAATGCCATGGAATTATAGGAGAAAATCTTTACCTTATGCTAGTATATTAAAATGCATAGTGGATAAGTATTGAATAGGGCCACTATTGTAAAACAAGACTGACATTGGGGTTGAGGGAAGACAGAGAAGAAAGGGAGGAATGATGTATACTGCAATGCAACAGATGAGGGAGAGAACTGTTTATAAGAGATATGTGATTAGGTATTATTATCATGACAGGAGTCCAGAATGAAGGCTGCACAGTGCAGTGGACTTGTGGGGGGGGGGGGATTGGATAGTATTGAAAGAGTTTTTCTTTTATTCATCAAGGAGAAAAGTGAATTGGGGGTAAGGGGTGGGAAGGGAGAAAAGTGCAACAGTGAATGACTGGAAACTCTCTTAGTCTGTAAAGTTTCATTAAAATTATAAATTATATAATAAAATCAAAGTGTAATTTTAGAGAAGAAAAGAAATGCTATCAGGTTAAGCTATCAGAAATTGCTAATGAACATTCCCAGAGCAAACTAGTGAGGTCCCCCCTCCTTCATACTCGTAATTTACTTAGAAATTTGTTCCTAAGGTATTTCTGTGATTGGTCAGGCTTTTTCTACACTGTTTTCCTATGTCTAACTCGGATAACATCTGAAATCTTGTTTTAGGTGAAATGTTTATGAAATAGAAAATGAGTCTCAGGGGAGTGTTCCATTCACTTCCTTTAATTTTGCTTCTGTAATTTGGAGCTATTTCACACTTTGAGATGATGAGATTTTAAAAACTATACTTGAGCTTAGATAATAGTTGTGATGGATCTTGGGACTTGGGATAAGATGTTAACTACAAGATGCCAGCAACCCTGCCCTGCTGCATGTGGGAAGCAAGGCTTCTTGGAAAGCAGAGCCAAACAGACTCACCGTGACCCTTCTGTGAAGCTGCTAAGAGTTTGCATTCAGATCATACAGTCCTCTGGGGAATTGATGGGTGTCTGATGCTTGTGAATTCTATTGTCAGGTATAATAACAGCAGTTTGTACAGAAACATCCACGTGAATGAGTTCAGTCTCCATGGTTAAGTTGGAACATCATAAATCCAAACTTTGACCAATATTAGTCATTTCCTGTACCACAACATTCTTTCTCTGGCCACTGTTTTACCTGATTCTCTATCAGTCCTAGCCACTGCTCAAGCTATTGTCTCATCCACGTACATAACTCCTGATATTTTCACAGCATTCACTTCATGCTTCCCATCTGATTGCAGTTCTCATTCATGACCTTCACTTTTTCCTGTGCTTTCCAAGTCATCATGCTTCTGTGTTTATTCATTCTGTTTTGAACCCCCTCCCTCCATGAAATGACAGGATTGTCATTTTGAAGAAAATGGAGGCATCATAAATTGAACAACTTTCCGGGAGTTACATAAGCTGGAGCTTGAATCCCAGGCTTTTTCCTGCCAGCATGATGCTGTGTTCACGCAGCCTGATTGCCTCTTGAGGTCCTAGATTCTCCAGTTTTTGTTGATGCTTTATTTTGTTTGTTTTTTTAATATAAAATCCACCTCATTGCGATAGTCTTAACTGCATTTAAATTTTTATGTTGAAAAAATTTTTCCAAATCATTTCAATATCTTGATCCCGTTTTTGTTAGAACCAGCCCACATCTGCTCTTTATCTAACCTTTTTAATTTTGTCCATGACCATCCTCCATTGCAGGCTTCTCAACCAGATGAGTTGACCATTGAGGAACATGAGGTGTTAGAAGTGATTGAAGATGGAGATATGGAAGACTGGGTAAAGGTATATTCCTTTGCTCATATCACCCCTTCTCATGACATTTGTAGGAGTTTGTTTTGGTTCTTGTTATGTTTCATCTTAAACTTTATGTATAAACCTGCTTTGTCCCATGTCTTCTACCCAGGCTCGAAATAAAGTTGGTCAAGTGGGTTATGTGCCAGAAAAGTACCTCCAGTTTCCCACCTCGAACAGCCTGCTGAGCATGCTGCAGTCCCTGGCCGCTTTGGACAGTCGGTCACACACCTCCAGCAATTCCACAGAAGCTGAACTCGTTTCAGGCAGCCTCAACGGAGATGCCAGTGGTAAAGACTGAAACAAGGCACTCTTTATTTGGTCACCTTTGACCTAAGCTATATTACCCTGGAGTAATCTTCAGTAAGCTAAAATGCATGACATTGGTCCCATCATATTTTTTTTATCCTATTTGTCCTATTACCATAGAACCTTAAGTTGATCTTCAGTGCTAAGTAAAAACTTAGCCACTGTACTCATATTTTTCATCATGTCTTCTAGTTTTCATAAGGGATAGTTGCAAATTGCTGCCTGACTGCCAATGTTCTTAACGAATTTTCTCTCTCTTGTCCCCTTAGTCTGTTTTGTAAAAGCACTTTATGACTATGAGGGCCAGACAGATGATGAGTTATCTTTTCCTGAGGGAGCAATCATTCGTATCTTGAACAAAGAAAACCAAGATGATGATGGCTTCTGGGAAGGAGAATTCAATGGGCGAGTTGGCGTTTTCCCATCGGTGCTAGTGGAAGAACTTGCAGCCTCAGAAAATGGTGACACGCCATGGATGAGAGATATTCAGGTACATGAGGAGGGAAAGAGTTGAATGAAAAGATGTTTGAAAAATTTACACCCACGGCCGAAAATGGGCTGTAGTTTCTGCCTGATCCTTACCACTGGTTTTCCATGGCCAGGTTTCAACAAAACCAAGTTGAGAAAAACTGAGGCTAGGAGGCTAGTCAGGCTCCTATGGAGTGGGGCCATCTGAAAAACAGAGCAAGGGCAGCTTGGAGACAGCCATAACTGACCTTTCCCAACTTCACAAAGTGGAACTGTCCCTGTCAACAAGACAACCAATTCACATGAAGTCAGACATGGCTCCTACACTCCTTCACCTCTTTTTACTCATCCCAGCACCAAGCTGACTGCTTTATTGAGTCCAAACTCAAATGCAGTAGCTTACATGCCCCACCGAACCATATTGAAGAAGTCAAAGGCTATAATTCAGGTTAGTAGAAGAATAGAGTCAAGACAACTTCCAAAATGTGCTCACAGGTGCCTCGGCCTTGAGACTCCCAGCTTTAGGCCAGTGTTACAATGCTTTCAGTCTTCCATGTATGCCAATTATGGCTTTCCTCTCCTCCCCTCAGTCATCCAGTGAACTTGGGCAAAGGCTCTTAGCTCTCCATCTCGTGCTGAATCTCTTCTCTTCTTTGGCCATGGCTGCTGCTGCTGTAGGTCTAACTGGCACAAGAATCTCTGGGCCCGAAGGATGTGCTCTACGTGCCTGCTTTTCCTTTGCTGGTAGCAAGATGCTCCCATTCTGCTGCTGGATCCACACAATTTAATGGCACGCCTAGCCAAGCCCCTCCTGGATTGGGGAGATTAGCCAATCCCCTTGAGGATAGGAATAGACTAACATGCCCTGTTCACATCTTCCCACCTATCCACATGGCAAAGTCAAATTCAATGGCTATGAAAGCCATTTTGAACAATAAACTCTTCAGTCTACACACCATCCCACTGCTCTATACTGCAAATGAGAAATTGATTATGACACTCACTCTTGGCAGACAAAAACAAATTAGAGGCAGAATATATTTTCTCTATGGTTCTTTTATGTAGTCAATAAAAATATTAATGTTTTCTTTCTTCCCATCACTGTATCCTCCCCATCCATTTCAGAGAGCCCCGTTACTCTTGTGGACCCAGATCCATCTCAGCCATACCTGCCTTTACAGGAAACCCCTAACTCAGAAGAGCATGTCTGCCTGTCATCTTCGTGTGGCTACTTAGTCTAAATTCACAGAACCAGGATGTCAAAACCTCAACCAATAATTCTAACTACATGCAAGCGCGCGCACGCGTGCGCATGCACACACACACACATCCCCCTTGTATCCCTTTTTCTTCTTCACTGTATCCCTATTTCTTTTTCTCTGAATTTGTTGACTAGTTAAGGTTGTTTGTTCTCTATAGAAACCTAGAGATTTTATTTATCAGTACTCCACTGAGGATATCTGTGAAAGGAAAAAAGTTAAAACAATGTCAAATGGAGACCTAGAGTGATGGTTTGGGGTTTATTTGCTTCTGGCAAGGCTGACAAAAAATTCCAACAAACATAAACTGTCTGAGGAAAAACGTAACTTGTCCAGAGAAGGCAGTGAACCTTTTCCTGCCTGAAGACACACGCATCTTGTAACCTCTCTTCTGTCTGATGCAGATCTCACCTTCCCCCAAGCCTCACAGCTCCCTGCCTCCGCTGCCCTTATATGACCAGCCTCCCAGCAGTCCCTACCCCAGCCCAGACAAGAGGAGCTCTCAGTACTTCCCTCGGTCTCCATCAGCAAACGGTAAGGGCTCTCGAGGGCGTGGGTCTCAATACATTCTCATTCCAGATCTGCAAACATAACTGCATTAGCATTTTTATTGTTGAATGCACAAATAAAATAGGCATCTTTGGTTCCTTCCCATAGAAAACAGCCTCCATTCCGAGTCTTCAGGATTCTCACAGGCACCACGGCATACTCCTGAGACTTCATATGGCAAACTACGACCTGTAAGTCTCTTATCTGGCAGTGTTATATAATGCACACATCTTCAAGACTGAAAATTCAAAATTAAATGCTTCCCCCTGGCCTCTGAGTTGTAACTGATTCCCTAAACAAGGATGAAATGGGTTTAGGAATGTCAGAGAGCTCTTTTAAAAAAAAAAAAATTAATGAACATTTACAGGGAATTTGGATTTCCATTCATTGTCAGAGAGCTCTTGAAGAGGAATGCTACAAAATCAACTCATCATGCCTTATGAGCATTAAAGTGGTCTCATTGTGAAACAGAGCACTTTTGTCCCCAGCACGCATTTATTGAAGACTTGTTGGCCCGAACTGTATTTGCCTTTTGGAGGGATGCTGAGATGAACAAATAATAACTTTGTGTCCTCAAAGAATTTCTGTTCTCATGGAGGATATACTTGTAAAAGTTCTTCCCAACCTCAGTTCTACCCGCCTCTGCACTGTGCAGTAGCTCTCACCCAGGTCAGAACTTTCTCAGTGCTGACAGAGGATGAATAAAAGCAAACTCCCTGCTGGCGAGTCGATTCTGATTCAGCTACCCTCCAGTGGGTTTCCACGGCTGTAAATCTTAATGGGAGGAAGCTGCCCCTCTTTCTCCTGTAGAGCCGCTGGTGGATTCCAGCTACAAGAGACACAGTCATTAAGGTAGCATCACATCTGTCTATAGACTGTGACACCAGAGCTCCCTAATCCAGTGGATACCTTTGCATTTTATTGATCCCCGCCATTAAAACCTCTGGCTTTGCTCATTCAGCACTTCCTTGGCGTCAGCTGTGACAATACTATACAGGGCCTGAGCCAGGCAGCCTGGCAGAGCTTGTCTTCACTCTAGCAGAAGAAAGTCCCAACTACACAGTTATTTTATGAGGTTGGAGAGATAGGCAGGGTCTTTATAGTTCTTGTCAAGGACTTTATTCTTTATCCTAAATGTGATGGGAAGCTATGGAAAGACCTTAAGCAGGACAGCAATCCCTTCTGTTCAAGTTTGCTGTGGCTGCTAAGTAGAGAGGGAATGGATGAGGGAGTCAGAACACTAAGCGGTGGACTGAGCAAGAGGGGCTAGGAGTGTGGACTGGAGGCTAGGATTGTGGACTGGAGGCTAGGA